AATGCTGATCGTGTTTTCTGGCAAAAGTTCTATTTGAATGTTTTTCAGGCCTAACTGTAGATGCGCTGTGCAATTATCCAAGAGCAACATAATTTTTTCGGCCACTTTGACCCATCTCTTTGTCTCAATCGAGGACCCACTCGGTGAAAATCTCCTTCGTCATCCACGCGTTTTATTGGCTCTGTTAGTTACGGGAAGCGTGTCCACGTTCACGCCATGGAAACATCGTGGTTTCTTTATTTTTCCAATCAAAACCAGCTTTCTTTTATCCATGCCTGACATATTCGCTCAGCCTACGTATACGCATGGAGCCATCAAAAACTATGAAACTCAAAGTAACGTACAGATATTGTTAAGAAAAAAGCGACGCGGAGGAGTCTATGCTTTTGTCAGAGGGCGTGGTACTATCCGGTCGCCCAAGCCGAAGTAGGGTGTTGACATAGGGGACACCACCTCGAGCCTTTGGACGAATGGCCTGCCCACGAGGCGGCGGAGCGAATTCAGGGAATCGCGCCCATTGGGAACCGGTGACTGATTGTCCAGTTCATACGCCTTTCGTTTGTTCGTTCGCCCAACATGAGCCCAATGCTCCTCGCAACTTCAGTTTTAACTTACTGGAATAAAATGCTTCGCCACTATGAAGCAAGGGACAGTGACTTTATTTAGTGGCGAGTCACGTCCGCCACGTCACAGTGTTGTTAAAGGGGTATATGTGAGGGTATGCGGGTGTTCTCCGAGCTGGCTGATTTGGCTGCAAACGTTTCATCGTCAGACTAGACGACATCATCAGTGCGATTTATACGGGCCACTTACAGATCAACTGGACGAAGGAACCTCATTGAGGCGGACTCTAGCCAACAGTATGAGAGAGCTGACTACACGGTCGGTTCACGTGGACCAATCGACTCCTGATGTTAGAATCAAATGATCAATAATCACTTGGATCTGTAAGTGGCCCGCATAAATCGCACTGATGATGTCGTCTAGTCTGACGATGAAACGTTTGCAGCCAAATCAGCCAGCTCGGAGAACACCCGTATACCATCATCCGCATCCCGAGCTACACATATTCTCACGGATATATGTGACTTTTTATCAGTAGATCGCTTGCCAGGCGAAAACTCACCACGTCCTGGAGCACTGCCGCCTAACGATTTGCTTGAGCGAGAAAATCCCGAACCACCTAGCTGGTACCACGAGGAGGTTGTTCGGCAAACCAACACAGGGGAATGATCCTATTCATGGCTTTTTCGATCCACTGAGTTTGTCGGCAGAAAGACACGAAGATCCATCTGGATTTTTTTGGTAAAAAGTACCAGATTTTTCTGCACTGTACACGTTGTCATCATCAAATGAATTTAAAAGTTTAGGTAGTCAATCTTTCAGCCATTTTTCACAGACTTCTCTGTCTGCGGAACGCTTTTCACATGTGCACGTTTATACACAATTTGATCTCTATTCTTCCATCTTTGCAACCATCCTTCTATGGCAGCAGAAGTTTTTCCACCTCTTTCCCCAAATTATTCTACCTTCTTCAGAAGCGGCGCTGTAGCTGTTTGATTGTGCTCACGAATCGATATCATCCAGTCTTGCAACGTAGTTTCAACTTATTCATCCTTTCCACACCGTTTCCTTTTCTGAGAGCTTGTAATGCCATGCTACAGATTCTGCCGTAGTTCCTTTTCGCTGGTAATCAACCTGGCCTGCGAAGTTCCTGATGGATAAGTTTTAATTTTGTCCAAAACATCCAACTATCAAGGACAAGTCCCTTTTGCTTTTGGCCATACTTGTATGAAACCACTAGAGTACTGACAAATGTGAAGCGAAAAGATTACCCGACTTTGCTGAGTTCTCGAGTTTCGAATAGGGCCGAGGGATTGACCACAGCCGTCTGTACCTTTAGGTTGCTCGTGTATTGAGTGACGTAGGTAACCTTTTCTTATCTGTCAATAACGCCACCGACATTTTTGTTGTTCTTGACTCGATCGGACTAGTTAGCTGGGGGTGATAGTAATAAAGTATAGTCGGAGCGAGAGAGTTTGACAAAGCGACAAGAGCACAGCCTACGCAACTGGGAAATTATATGGTGGGACGACTCCGGCAATGGGCAATTAGACGGTGAAAATTTGGCATCTTTACGAGAAAAGAACTTGTATTATGAAAACCTGGGCAATAACGAGGGGTGGGCTATAAACCAGGTGGGCAATAAAGCGGTATATCGGTCTCTTCTTTGGCAGTAGTGTTTTTCCCTTTTTATGTAATTGCGCACAGGTAGAGTTCGCCATATCGCGGCCACCGTTAGCCACTCAGCGGAGCGATGTAGGCGGTGTGATTATGCATGGTTCATCCAATGACCGTGCCTATTTTTTCACCCAGTTGTCCATAAATTCACGCCGAATGCATGCTCTTATGGCAGTATTCCCCGTTTCTTGTCTCTCTACCTTCCTGAATACTCTAAGTTGTGTCGCTCAAAGTCTTGGTTAATGCCTTTACCATTTTGATCTCTCCAACTTATACTATACGTTCTCTTGCAGGTTCGCCAGGTCATCTGCGGTGCTCTTTCATATGTGATCCATTTCTTTCGATAATCTTTCTTTAACATTCACTCGTTCCTTCTCGTTTCTTCTCAATCACCGCGCCTTTCTCCAATGCCCATGTGCACCGTATTTAATTGCGCCCACGCCTTAGTAGGTGTCCTGGTTCCGCAGCTCTAGTGCGGTAGTTAAGCTGACGCTGGCTTTCCTCTTTGTCATTTTGGTTGGTCGTGTGGATGGGGTCAATATCCCGGGGGTGTCTGCGATCCCTCCCCCCCACGACATGCGAGTTTTCGTGAGTATTCATTGCGTTTTGTAACAACGACATGGCTTACTTTACCTGGATGTGCCATGGACCCTTTTGTGGGTGTGCAGACACCCCTTTGGCTGGATGCTTGGCGTTTGAGACAGGTTCTTCTGGTGTTCTGGGCCATGCGATTTGGCATCCGAGCGTTTGACTACTTCTTCCGTGGTAGTTTTGACGGACATCTCAATTTCTAGCTAAACGTCTCACGAAGTGGTCCTTCCCGTTGCCTCGGAACTGATCTGCTGCTACTTTTCGCTCTTCAATCTGCAACATGATGCGGCATTTTTGGTCCCTGTCTCGTAGTTTGATGCTTACAGTAAAACCTTCCGTTTGATACTCGATCTTGGATTGACTTATCATCTGGTGCTGTGCTAATGTTACACTTAACACCAATGTAAGCTTAATGACCGTTTTTTGGTGATGATAGGACCAGCATATGGTTCATAGTGAAATAATCCCCAGACTTGAAAATGGGTTGCCTCATCTACTGAAAATTCATAGTTTTCATCTTGCCTCTCTCTGAAGGCTACGTCGCGCAACATCACACACTATGTGATTGCCTAAATATGTCACTTTCTTTTTAGCGACCTTCCGTTACTAACATTTGCTCCAGCTTCACTGCTACGGTCTCATCCCGATGTCTCGTTACTCTGTTGATGAGCTCTTCGCAGTACATCTGCAATGAACATCTGTTCTTCCTATGTGTATACTATGTTTTTCTCACCCGTTACACTCGGATAACTTACGCTCAAGACGTAGAGGGGCCTTGTGCGACGGATCGCTACCTATGAACACGAAACGGTTTGTGGTAGACATGCACCGTTCTTTATTTTAGAAGCATAATTGTCAAATTTCATAGCATAAATTATCACGTGTTTTGTTTTCACCTTGTACGTAACGTTGCTCTACCACCCGAGTGCTCGATTGCAAGTTCTCCATCTTGCATGAGCACTTTACTTTTTCCGCTCTGCTTCTTTTCACGCTGTACCTCCAGAAATCACACTAGATCGTTGCGTTGTATCACAAGTGTATTGGCGGTGCGGTGTTTGTCGTAAAAGCACGTTAGGTCTGGTCGACTGCGCAATTGCGACCCTACACTGGACATTGCTCGCAACGCTTCTGGTGTCATGCGACACTATTTACAAACTTCTTGCCTCGACTTAAAGAACTTCTTCGTTTTGTTGCTGGTTGTATGTGGCTGAGACCTCGCTGTTGCATGTATTGATGTGTTCCTGAGTAGTTGATCTCTCTGCGAAAAGTGTATGGTGGTATTTGCGTTATTGATTCTAGACACTATTATATTCCGTATGACACTGTCTGCTATGCAGCTGCTTACTTTGCAGAAGTGAACTCAAATCCTCAAGTATGGAACGTGTGTCTCCATGAATTCGTCCGTTGGAACCACGTAGATTAAATTCTTGTGCTCGTCATGACAAGACGGTTGTTTGTACTTGACTGGGCATGCATGTAGTTTTTTTGTCCACTGCGGGTAGTGGTTGTTGTCCTTATTTCACACGACACACCCCAAATCTCTCCGCACCATGTTGCGTTGCTCTCCTTTCCTTTTCTGCCTCGGTGAATGCCCGTAGAGCCTCGTTTTAGTATCTTTACTCTGTGACAACGCATTTGTCTTGAAAAAGCTAGCCCACTTCTCTTCAGTCTGACGCCATGCTTATCAGCCTGCCCCTAGCCTTACGAATAACAAGATGCTTGTAATCTTTGGGCGCGGGTTCGAGCCTGCGTAGGGACCGCGCGACCATCTCAGTATTCTTAGCCTACATGCGACGGCTAGTGATTGCGCGGCAGTGAAACGTCGGTACCGCGTACTGGCGTACTTCTGATGCCCCGCTCCCATACTTATCATTGCGCAGCTAATGTCTCTCACCTGCTGAGTTGTACGAACTATCAGCTCCTTGCTATATTAACTACTCTGATGAAATTTTTTTTATGAAATGGTCGCGGAATCAGGCAGGCGCTCACCTAGCCTATTTCATCAGCTGCTAAAATGTTTGCTTTCTCCATGGTACTATTCCTTTTTCCCTCGGCTTTTTCTCTTGCTCCATTTCCTTGAAATATTGTTCACGTTTGGTATGTTTACATCTTCGTTACCTCTTCTTCTGTTATTCCAGTTTACCCATGCTTTGTGTTTATTTTTGCAGTTATTTGTTGGACAGTACCACATTTGGCTTGCACAAGATGCTCATGGGTTGTTGGTCTTCGTCCCCGGTCTGAAGTCGCTGAACCTTTTGCTAACCACCACTACTTTCGTGGTTGTGTGTCATGAACTTCACGCTTTAACTGGAAAATTACAAACCTACATTATACCCAAAACACCTGACGGTCTAGTTTCCCGTGGTGTCGTATTGTGCCTCCTGGTTGTGTACTTTTGCTTCCCTTGAAGTAACCCCATTCATGTTCACAAATTTCTCTAACAAGCCAGCATGTCGACCCTTTGTTGTGCTTGCTGACGTGACATTCCAAGAATCTCGGCTTTCATGACCAATTGTTCTTTTCACGTAGAAGGGCTCTAAAGATAGTACCTAAAACGAACGTTCCAGAGACACTGGACCTTTCACAAATAAATAAATTTATTATCGAAAAGCTTGAGGCAAATCTCTCTCGGTTAATTGCATCCATAATGGGGCTAAATTACCTCTTATAAAAATCTTCATTCACGGGTCACTCAGAATATTTCTTAGGTTAGTTAATTTGCATCCTGTGTATGCGTCCGCTCCGAAACATTTACCGTTCTTTGTGATCAATCCCTTCACTATGGAATTCTAGCACGGTTATTAAACCTAGTCCAACTTCAGCGCAGAGCGATCGCGCTTCGAAAAGTGTTTGCCAGCGTTTGGTGCTAAACATCAGTAGCCATTGGATGCAATGAAACCAATCTCACGCAGACTAGGAGACGCCAGCTATGTCAAACTCAAGTGCTCAACTGGTTCCGGTGGTGATACGTATACTCGTGAATGAGCGACAGTTGAGGTCTCTATACATAGCCCCCGATCATCCACTACTCTAAGTATGTGCGCGGTGTGTCTGCTTGGGCTAACCTTGGACAACGGGAGGAGCACACAAGATGTGAGGTCACGGGGACTGCATGTAACGGTTGATTGCGCTCAACGTTCCACGGCTCTACTGACACTGCTAGCCACGTACGCACTTCGATGCACCATGTGCCCTGGTTCACAGGCCAGGACAAGCAGACGGAGACAAAACTACTGTAAGTGTGACTTTTTAGATGCATTTGAAACGAATTTTCTTTTATAATTCCAAGTAAGGATATCAGAACACGAAGATTGTGGGATGGCATTATTTCGTGTATACAGCAACCACACACAACCGATTAACAAGGAATGCAAAACAACGCCACATGAAATCAATTATTGATCAAGTGTTTCATGTCGGTCGATAACAATGGCCTCGACTAGCTTGCGTATGTGAGGCCTTTGACTGCGCATGAGGACTGTTTGGCGGCAGTTGCTGCTTCACGAAATGGTCCAACTCACACTGCGTGGGAGATAGAGGCAAGGTTGAATCAACACACAGGTCCTGATGGAAAACGAAGGCAAACGCGGGATCGATCGTGCTCCAGACACTGGGTCAACAGAGAAATGAGGCTCCCATCCGGAATAGGGGCCACGATCAATTCCATTGTGCATAAACTCCAAACGGTCTCACAGAAGGCTTCAGTAAACAAACAAGATGTCAGTCTCATGTGAGGGCATGCATAAATGGCCCAGCAGCAGAATGAATAATTTTCTGCTTTTACTCTGGGATGCTCCACTATCGACCTAATCAGCAAGGTGGGTGCACAACACTTAGTGTCCTGGTTACCTTCCACCGTGCTTAACAACCACTCAGTCCGCACGCTGATTTCGCAACGTTCAGTTCAGTTGATCAACTATGATCCGACCACCGAATTGCGTTAGGCTAATCAGAATGGAATGAAAATTAACAATCAAATGAAAGAAGCCAAATGCCGGAACGCCACTGACTTCGTGACTGCGCCATGTCTGACACGTCCTACCATTGGTGTGGACCGCCACGAGGCCCCCATCCCGGAAGATGGCACGCACCAGCCTGACCAAGTCTCTGTCAATTTCTGGAAGATTCTATGCCATGTCATGTACTGACCACCTTGCGGTTTTGCCTTACTACAGCCACGGCATATAATGCACGTCGAAGAAGCCGATCAACGGGCCTACGGTGGACATGACCTAGCCAACACAAGCGACTAAGATTTAGCAAACATTCGAGAGAGGCGCCAGAAGGCTTCTTGCCAAAAACCAACTGGCGGATCTCAGCATTCACCCGGTGTTCCCACCAAACATGTGCAATACTTCGCAAGCACCGGTGGTCAAACACAGCCAAGCATCTCCGATCCATACCGTAACACTGGCCTTACTGCAGCGTTACGCACCTTATCTTTCACTAACAAGCTGATGTCCCGCCGTCTCCATAGATGGTTAAGCCTCTGGAAAGCCACTCAGGCCTTGCTGATACGCGAGGTAACTTGCTCAGGGATGTGAATGGCAGAGGTGACACAGTTACCTAGTTAAGTTAACCGATCCACCAGTTCCAGTGGCTGTTCGGAAATAAAACCGGAGGTGTGTCGGTCCAGTCCCACAACAGCACTTTGCACTTTGAAAGTGCAAAATACATGCCGAAGCGTGCAGCGCTACGCACAATTATGTGCAGTAGTGTTTCCATAACCTCTGCCTCGAACCCTTTACATGGTTGGCGGCGTCCGGTTTCGGATTTGCCTGTCACTGTGGCCAGCCATCGGACGTCTGCGCTTACAGAGGGACTATGGGTGGCTTACGCTGCACCACCCACAGCTCCAACCACACACCCCCATATCCAGTGTCAACCCAAAGGAATAAGACTGGGTAGCATGTGGATGGGAATCAGGTTTCATCAACGGAGCCGGTCCACACTCCTTCACAGACAAACACAAGCACGCTGTATTTGGGAAATCAAGCGCACACAAGGTGGTGGCTGGACCGTAGTCCGCTCCACACTGAGTGCATGGAACCACTCTTTGAGCCAACCACGGCCACTGGGACCGTGCACCCCGTCCTCTCCAACAATGACCAACCGTCTCCTGGAGCCAGTATGGATGAGGTAGTGGGTAATAGACAGGTAGACACCTTGTCAACATGCACATCAAGCGCAGCCACATCGGGGATATCAAGCAACAGCCAGACACTTGAAATATCATCAAATGAAGTATATCGGTTAAAGCATACGGCTGTGCAGATATAACTCTACGCTAAGTTTGCATATGAAGTAAGTTGGTTAGCAATGAATCCGCGATAAGTACAAAATGTCCACAAGTTAGTTAAAAATGCTACAAACGCAATAAAGTAAGGAAGTTACGTGCAATTAGCGTAAGCAATGTGTGCAAGTTAATAGAAGCTTATTCAGATAGGCAGAACAAACCAATTAAATTGGAATGAAATTAATCCATCCTTAAAAGACCTTTAAGCGTAATTTGGTTTAGCCCTACTGCGGTGAAAAAGCATCAACAATTCAACATCAACTTCAACATGAGGCACAAACCCTATATATATATATATATATATATATATATATATATATATATATATATATATGCTGGGGGCGCAAGGTGCACGGTTCTCGTGGCCTTGCTAGGCTCAAAGAGTAGTCTCATCCAGTGTGGAGGGGACTACAGCCCAATCACCGCCTTGTGCACGTCCGTTACGAATACGTCCCTACGTAGATTGAAAGGAATGCTGCTGCTGTGTATGTTGAAGGAGTATAGGTCGGATCCGTTGATGAAATGTGGCTCCCAACTGCATGCCTCCCGGTCTTATTCCTTCGAGTTTACGCTGAATATGGGGTGTGTGGATTGAGCTGTAGGTGGTGCAACGCCAGCCATCCATCGTCCCTCGGTAGGTGCATGCGTCCTGTGGCTGTCCTAAGGAGACCACAGTGATGGGCAATCCGGAACTAGATGCTGCCAACCATATATTTGCATCAGTCAATAGACATTGAACCATCGAAATAAACCATGAGGGACAAAATAAAAAATACAAATGTCAGAAACAAGGAACAAATACTCTGGCTTTATGTTTTTTGTCTTTTTTGCAGCACATTTTGTACTTTTTTGGCATTTTGAGTGATAAAGCTCCAATCACATTATCCAAAACATTTTAATATACAGTCTTTCCATTGATTCCGGTTTCGCGCCATATCACCAAATGTGTCGAACAATTTGCAATCCTCATCCTTGGGCCCCCAACCAGGAAGACGTACAGGGCCAACAATGACGAGGCGGGAGGTCAGTGATTTCATGATTTGCCGCCTCGTGGTTGGCTGACCTCCACGCATTCTCTTTCAATTCAATCCTGTGCGAGCAGCATGGTAAGCGCTCGTATGACATACGTAGAAAGTGGCCAAGTCACCTCAATTGACGCATTGCGACAACGCGATCAAGCGGTGGACTCATGTTTTCCAAGACGCTGCGCCGGACTTCATCGTTGCGAACCCGGTACTGCCACCACACACGGGCTGTCCGTCGCAAATATGTGTTGTCGAAGGCCGTATGTCTACGCATGTCATCAGTATGAACCTGCCAGGACTCACTACTCTACAGCAGCACCGCACGGACACAACCGTTGTAGACCCTCCCCTTTATGGAGAGGAATATGTCCCGACGACGCCACAATTGACTCAGATTGGTAAATGGCGACCGGGCTTTGGCGATGCGAAGATATACGTCTTTCCCAATAGTGCCATCATTAAAAATACAGCTTCCCAGGTAGACAAAGTTGTCCACAAGCACTAGCTGTGTTCCTTCAAAGGCAGACGACTTTCAGTCCTGGAGCAGCACTTTGCAGTTCAAGGAAAAGCCCATACCATACTTAGACGCTTCAATCGCCAGACGGTTCAAATAGGCTCTACACTGTGAATCCCGTGAATAATTCCAATGAAATCAAAAGATCACAATTGCGCGAAGAACATCCTTTCCGATAAATCTCGTCAGGCGTTTACAGTTATCGAGCGAAATTAGAAAACCGATGATCTAACGAAAGCTAGATCTAAATTCGAAATAACCACGAATTCCATACAAGCTATTGGCTTGGCGTGGCTGGCCATCGATCAATGTTTTAGTCAGTCGAAGTACGCCACCCGGACAAAACACACGGTAGTTGAGGGCAGACAGATTGGCGGTGACAAATGCTGGTCGCCTGTCATGTTTGAGGTGATGATTTCTCTCCGGAGTGCGTTCATGGCCAGTCTGCCCACGGTTTGCACCAGCGTCTGGTTTCAAAACCCTGATTGCAATGGCCTCAGCTGTTGTTAACTAGCATTTCTTAATTCCTTTAGTGTCTCGTTTTGGGCTGGTATATATGATTTTGAATGAGTC